GACCTGCTCGGGTTATATCTCCATCAGCTGCTCCGTGCCCACAATGACTTCATTAACATGTTTGGCTGAAAAGAGAAAAGGGAGCAAGAGAAGAGGAGCTGAGTTTCGCGGCACAGCTTCAGACCTCGCGTTTCTCCAGATCCGCAACACTAAAACGAATGAGAAAAGCAGATTTTGGGGCGCTCGAAGGCGGGTTTGCCGACTTCGGTGGGACGCCGGCGTCTCTCCGACGGTCTCCCACACACATGGGAAAAGCCTGAACAACTGACTAAACACCGGGAGGCTTCTGCCATGGGAGTTTTCACACGTCTGTGTCACTGCTGAACGCGGGAGGCCCTGCAGAAGTCACAGCTGCTGCTGCCAGGTGCACACCTAGGCCAGGGCAAGGAAGCACCCACATCCAGTGAGGGGATGTGACCCGAAATTAGAGACCAGGAATCCACCCTGGCCCTAGCGAGCGCTGCGTGCCCTCAAACCGCACTGGAGGCTGGGGAGGAAAGGGGGTGCTCAGCATTGGGGGGCCACCGCAGAGGCAGTGTAAGACCCTCTCAGCAATCCTTAACTTGGGAAGCTCAAAAAAAAGGGCTTTTTCTTAATTATATTTAAAATTTCAACCTGACTTCTCCCTCCTGCATTCACACAATGTGGATGGAGCCGCTCCGAAAGCATCCATGCGAAGCAAGGTGTGAGGGTCACTGTGGACAGCCCACCCCAGGCTCCTCTGCAGGGGCAATTTCCCCCAAATCCATCCTTCCCCTGTTCCCAGGAGCTCTGCACAGCCCCCATGGACACATTAACGTGCCAGTCCCTGCCCCAGCCCTGCTACTGCACCGCACTGAAAGAGCCTTCCCTTTAAAATGCAAAAGCAGCTCGTCAGGGAAGGACTGCAAATAAGGGATAATAAATACATCATAAAACCATGCAATTGAAAGCCCAGCGCCTAAAAAAGCCCAGCGTGTGACACAGAGTGACACAAAGTGGGTGTCCTCAGGGTGGCAGTGGCTCTGAATTGCTCTCTGGGAGCTGGACACCTCTGCAGGTGGAGCTGAGGTGGTTGGAGCCATGGCCCCTGGCTCTCCATCACTTAGAACAGCCCCGCCTGGGGTAGAGCCCCGAGGCCTGGGAGGCGCTGGGATGCACGGACGGAGGCTGCGCTGGCTCCACACCTGGCCCAGCCATGGATGATGGAAATAACCAGTTGTGATTTACTGACCCACCTAAAGCTCCTTCCTCAGGGGAGCGGATTTTGCAAGGCCGCTGTGAAACAACAAACCTGGCACCTTTGGCTCATGAAGAAACCCCTGGCAAGCCCCAGATTGGCCCGGCCAACACGATGCTTCTCTTGGTTTCAAATTCAAGACGTTACCTTTGCAGCACGCAAACCACTGCTCCAGAAAAAGGTTTGGTCAAAAACTGCTCTATGAACTTCAAGGAGTTTTGGACTGTGGCAAGAGAACTTCCCACTGCAACCCCAGCCCCAAAATCAGGTGGATCCTGCTGTCTCCTCAGTGTTGGGATAGCCACAGCATTGCCTTCCAGAGGCAAAAATAAGGAGATGAAGGAGTTGCTTCTCACCTTCAGCATCGAATAGAGTCACTTAGTTATCTGGTATTTAATGACAACTGATAATTAATCCTGGAGCCTCTTGCTAATGTCCTGGAGCTTGGATAGAGTGTGGAGCCATTCCCAGCGCTCAGGACAGTGTCAGGGGGAAGGAGCCAGGCTCTGCTCTGGGATGGCCAATGCCAGGACAAGGGGCAATGGTCCCAAGCTGGAGCACAGGAGGTTCAAGCTGAAGATGAGGAGAAACTTTGTGAGTGTGAGGGTTCTGGAGCATGGCCCAGGCTGCCCAGAGAGGCTGTGGAGTGTCCTTGTGTGGAGACACCCAAAGCCCTGGCCGTGTTCCTGTGTGACTGCTCTGGTGATCCTGCTGTGGCAGGGGTTGCACTGGATCAGCTTCCCAGGGCCCTTCAACTCCTCACATGCTGGGATGCTGTGACAGGACGAGCAGGGGTGGATGCGGTGCTCAGAACGCGAGGGGCTGCCTGTCCCAGCGCCAGGTGTGAGTGTGATGTAGGTAGCACCACACAGCCTCTCCTCACGCCTCTGCCAATAGCCCCGAGTCCAACCCTCAGCCCCGCTCCGCTCCCGCCCCGGACCCCACACAGCTTTGCCAAGGCACCTCCAACCCAACCCGCAGCGCTTCTTGCCGTAACATTCCTCACCCCCAACAACTCTCCCCGCGGATCTCAAACGGGCCCTGTAGCAACTCCTGTGCCTCCATTCCTGAACCCGCTCCAAGCAGACTGCCTGTATCACGCTGATTTCTGTGATGTGAATAAGACGCTGGCCACCATCCAGGGAGAGTAATTACGTTATGCCTCTGCAGATTGAACATGCCTTCACCTAGGCTCATAAAGAGCCGTGGCAATCCGTGGTTCTATACACAGGTGATCTGTAGCAATACTCAATAAGGAGCTTCTTGCTTCGTTTCACACAGCATCCTGCGCTGCCCCGGACGTGCAGGTCCTGTCACATACTTTGCTGCACGGGTGGTAGCAGCTATTTGGATTTTGCACTGACACGCTTGCAGCCGCCTATGATACCTTGCATTTCACACCCGATGAGTCCAAAACGCTTCTCAAGAGCATGCCCATTTTACAGATGGGGAAACTGAGGCAGCGGTGAGTTTAGGGAGTTAAGCAGCCAAAAAGCCCCAGGGGGGATCAGACCACACACATTCTCATCTCCCATCCTGTTGCCTGTGTTGTCTCCTCCTTGATCCCTGTGGCTCAGGCTCCTCAAAGCGGGCACGCACGGCCTGCCCAGCAGTCACTGCTGCCTCAGGGACTCGTGAAACCACCAAACCCATTTCTCCTTGTACGGCCTAAAAGAAAACACATGAACCGCCTGCTTCAAATCCTCCAGAAAACGTTTAAGCGATAAAGGGAAGGGTTTTTGCTAGAAACAAAGCCCGATTCCGCACCCCCGGGGGATGCGATAGGCAGATAAGGATTCACCCAGCTCCCCTCCTCTCTTCCCAAAGCCTCCCTTGCGGAGGGAAGGGCGTTCAGGCTCCACGGTGTGTGCCAGAGAGCCGAGCCGTGGAGAGGGTTTGGTTATCGGCCGTGGCTGCCAGTTGCCAGTGGCTCTGGCTGGTACCAGCAAGCTCGGTTCATGCAGAAACTGTGCCTGAAACTCTGGGGGAGGAGGCAGAAGTACCTCACAGGCGTAGCTGTTCAGCTCCCTTCGCCTTCCCCAGCTCCCCATGCGGGATTTCTTACCAGGCTGCCTTTTATCTGACACTGGCAGGGTTACAGATGCATTCAGCTCGCAGAGAAAGAAGAGGGATTAGAGAAAGGACTTGCAGAAAGCCTTAGAGTTGGACTCCGCAACCTTAAATCATGTTCAACGAGATCTCCTCAGATTGGGAGCATCTGGTGCTAAGCAAATCCAGAGCTGATCAACACATTCAGCCCTCCTGATTAGCACTTTGCTTCAACTTGCTGACGCAGCCCAGCCCGAAGGCAGCCTGGGCGCTCGAAGCAGGCGTCCGAGGAGGTTTCACCCAGCGTAAACCAAAAGCCCGTCACTCGTTACGGACGCGGTCCTGCTCCGGGAGACGTTTGTTTACACATACTGTACTAGCCCCTTAAAAACGTACTCGGGAGGCAAGGAGAGCTGGGGAGCAGCAGGGCTTTTGGTGCCTGGCTAAAAACAAACCCTAATGCAAATAAACAGAGGGGCGGAAATGACTGTAAAGCTCAGCACAGGCCGGGCTGGGGACCCGGCGCTGGGTTCCCATCGGGGCTTTTGGGGACTGAAATGGGTGTGAGCAGGGCAGGGCTGAGCCTGGGAGCTGGGCTGTGTCTCGTGCTCCATCACACCCTGCAGCAGTGGAGAGCAGGAGGTGGAGGTGGCTGCAGTTCTGCTCACGCCTCTATTTCCAGTTTCCTCCTCCCCGTTTTCAACTCCTTCCTCACCTTAGCCCCAGACAGATTGCTGCTGCTGCTGCTGCTGCTGGTGGCAACGCCGGGTTGTAAAGGAGGAGGGGAAGGAGGGGAAAGGGAGGAAAAGAGAAAAAAAAAAGAGAGAGAGAGAGAGGAAAAAAAAAAAAGAGGTTAGGGCCTAGGCCCAGGACCACCACGAAGTTCCAGCCCTCAGGGGCTCCAGAAAACGTTCAGTTTACTCACTCAATTACATACACTGTTTTATAAACCCTTTAAAATAAAATAGAAAACAGTCCCTGGCACAGAATTACTGCTCTATTATACAGCAGTGATGAAAGCCACTGCTGTGTATTTGCTCTCTTTAAAGCAAGAGATAGTTTAACTTAAAAAACGAGGCGGGAAAAAAAAGGGGAGGCTGCAGAAACGCAGGCACGAAAACACGCTGTGGGTGGCTCCTACCACATTCACCCAGGACAGAAAGGATCAGAGAGCGGGAGAGAGGAGCAACTTGTCTCTGCAGCGATGCTTGGCCCTGGAAAAGCAGCCAAAGGAACTCAAGGGGCTTAAGGGGATGGGAAGCAGCCGAAGCTTGACTTTGGGAGGCTGGAGGGTGTTTTAAATTACATGCGGAGATAAAGAAGGGAAGCAGGTGATGGGGGCTGATTGGTTTGTGTTTACAGAGCAGTGGGGCTTTCCAGCCAAGGCTGCTCTCTTCCCCAGACAGTTTTACTTACGGGGTCACTGGGGAGCAGGGCTGACCACGCTGTGGCCTCACAGCCACAGTTTCTCCCAAGCACCGCATCAGCCAAGCCTGCTGGTCTGCGGCAGCGATGCTCCCCATGAGCTGGGCACCCCAGCATCTCATGTGCATCTCATCCCAGGGGTGAACGGTGCTGGTGGCAGCTTCAGGCACATCAGCTCTGGCCTCCAGCCCACCAACCAGGTAGTAAAGAGCTCACTCCTGTCCTACACCCACCCTGAGCAACCTCCGCTGCACAGCGCCTGCTTCAGCTGAGGCTTTTCTCACAGCCCAACCTGGATTAACTCCTTCACCTGCAGACCCATCTGGGGAATAGATGTGTCTTGGGAGCGTAAAGGCAATGCTGGATTCGGTG